ATCACTGCTTCTCTGGGTAGGGTCCTGCTCTCTGCTCTTCTCCCTTGATGGTCCTAGGGACCTCCGCTCCTAGACTGAAAAGTTAATCACTCCCCCTCCTTGCTATAAAATGTCTATCTTTACATTTCCAACCCTCACAATCAGTCAGACTGATTTTTGCACGTTGATCTTGTATCTTGACATTTCTGCATCCTTCTATATAAGTTACAGGATTTTGTTTTGTAGAGTCTCTGGGATTTACTTTGTATAGGATAATATCTCAGGATTGGAGGAAGATTCATTAACAGCATGTGAAATGCAGATTCCATAACTGCTTACTGAATGAGAAGAGAATATGAGATACTTCCTGGCAAAGATTAAAGACTAAAGCCATCAGTATGGATTACATTTCAGTGTAAAGAAAAGAAAAATCCTCACAAAGGTACCAATAAGCAACACTGATAAATTAAAACAAAACAAAACAAAACACTGACGTTGTCATGAATTTCATTTATACTTGGATCTACAGTCACCATCCATGGAAGCAGAAGTCAGCAGAGAAAACAATGTACTGCATTGGGCATATTTTCTGTAAAAGATTCTTTGAAGGGTTAAAAAGCAAAGAGGTCAATGAAAATACTCAGGTACTCTTGACCCAAGCCATAGTAGGTTTAATCACCTCATATGCATTGGAAAGCTAGACAATAAATACGAAAGTCCAAAGAAGATGTAATGTGCTTGATTTTGGCATTGGCGAAGAATATGAAATATTCCGTGGACCTCTAGAAGAATGAGAAAAGGCAAGAAATCAGAACTTAGTTTTATTTCTCCTCTGTAGATAACTTTGTTTTTCTCTAGTCACTTTCAGAATTCTTTGTTTCTGGTTTTGGAAAGTTTGAAAATACATTGCAGTAATTTTATTTCGGGATCTATTCATTTAAGGGTTTGTTGCACTTCTTGAATGCATATTTTCTTATCTTCCATGTTGGCTGGTTAGCTGTGTGCCATGGAGTCGGTTCTTACTCATAGTGACCCTGTACAGGATTTCCGAGGCTATAAATCTTAACGGGAGCAGAACGCCTCATCTTTCTCCCGCGGAACAGCTGGTAGTTTTGAACTGCTGACCTTGCGGTTCACAGCTCGATTCGTAACCACTATGCTACCAGAGCCATGTTAGAAAATTTTATTCCTGACAAATACCACCCTCCCCCCTCTTATTTATTCCTGTTCTGGAAGTTTGGTCACACATGTTATGTCTCTTGATGGTGTTCCATATAGTTGTTAAGACATTGTTTCAGTTTTCCCTTGTTCTTTTGTCCTGCTAGAAAAACTTTCTCTGTTAGAAAACCTTGTAGCAGAGTTTGTTGTTAAGTGCCTTCGAGTCGGTTACTGAGGTATTATGCGCTGCTTAAAGATGGTAGCTGGCGGTACTCCTCTTCAGAGTTCTGCCAACAATCCAGTTGTCTGCGTCAGTCTCCTGAGTCTTTTAGGAATAAAGATGGCGGCAGAATTCGTGACTTTCCTATATTCTTGCCTGACTCCATGACAAGGGCAGAGAGAATGGCACTGTCACTACTGAATTATTGAGAAATTGTTAGCTGATAGGTAAAGATGAATAATCTCAAAAAGAATGTATTATATATTCAGTAGGTTGTATTATCATCTCTTGATAACCTGGAGTTTTTCCAAGAAAATATGACTATATCAGGGGCTTGGCTTGCAAGTTTGTTTTCATGGATCTCCCACGGATGATTAGGGACAAAAGGAAAAGCTGCCAGGCAGTCCTACAGTGTTTACCTAGTTAATACCTTATCCTGCATTCACTCTGTGATTCATGCTTTGTGGAAGGAGTTAAATTTTATTTGTTTTTCACAAGGACGTGGTAGATTAAACTTTCTTCTTTAGAGAGTATTTCTGTAATTTCTCCTATGTCTTTAAGCTGTTCTAGATGATAAAGATAAGAGAAGAATAAAACTGGAATTGGTCACAGTTAAGTGTGAAGAGAGATGCTCAGCTCAGTGTGTTTGAAGCACTGTTAAGTCTGTGAGACAGGCTGCCATAAGTGAGGGCCTTAGTGTAGACAGTGAAGAGGGATTAAGAGCTAGACTCTAGAGTACACTTTGGCAGACACAGAATCTTGTGTGTATCTCTATGAATTCTCAGTTCCCCTGGACTTCACTCACTGGAGTATATGGTACCTTGCTGAACCAATGTGTTGTGTTTTAGGACTCAGTGGTCGTTGAGGATGTGACTGTGAAGTTTACGCAAGAAGAGTGGGCTTTGCTGGATCTTGCTCAGAGGAAACTCTACATAGATGTAATGATGGAAACCTTCGTAAACCTGGCCTCCGTAGGTAAGGATGGCATCATTAAAAAAAAGAGTTATTCTTTAGTGTACAAATACGCATCAACCTTGCTCAAGCATTTGGGAATGGATTGTTAAATAGGATAGGCATGGTCATATGATCTGTGGATCTTAAATATCCTGACTTGCCACATAAACAACATAAGTCCATTTAACGGACTTTTCATTTCCTTTGTGGTTAAAAGTCTGTAGGTTCTTTAAGTGTAGTAAGTGTGACCATTTGCTTTAGGGACCACTTTGGATTACAGAGAAATTCATGGTTTTAGATCTTGTAAAGAGTTTTTCTGTTTTTATTACAAATGTGACATGATTTTATGCTACAAAAAAATCCACACTTATCTCCAGAGTATGAAGACCGAAGTAATGCTTCAGTGTCCGTGTCATTGCTCTTAACTATCTTAACTTATAACATGCCTGTCTCCATGAGCACTGTGTCAGCTACACCCATTTGTTCTACCAGGGAAACAAGAGAATGATCTTAGGAGAGTGGAGATAGCTTTTATCCAGGGCCACCGTGTCTGGGTAAACTCTGTAGGAAAAGCCCTGACTGTTACCAGCAGGGTTTGCTATTCAGAGACACCCCCATCTGAATTCATGCAAACATAAACCATATACAACGTTGCTATGAGTCAGAACTGACTCAATAGCACTTTAGAACAACAGTAGCTACATCAGGGATTATCACAAAAGCAGCAATTCTTTGAAGGCCAGTACTGTGTAGAAGGAGTTAGACTTGGATGAATCAGTTAGAAAAAGTGTTTTGGGTTGAAGAGACTGAGCTTCTCAGATACCTGATGATACTTTTCTGACTTTCCTAATACTCTCCCAGCTGTGTTGTGGAGGAAGTCCTTCCCATTTTCCTGTTACATGTGCATTGAGCATCTCTGTATTCCATGTGCATTGTGTCCAGTATCTTTCTACTCTGCTGCCCTAATTGCACACACTGTTACTGTCACTCTCAATAGTCATTGAAGTTTTTCATAGTAAATTACCTTTTGACCATTGCCTACTGCCTCAGAGTTTTTCTTTGCTCATAGCTACTTTTTTTTCTCTTAATCATTCCTTCCCTTTTTGTTTCCTATTGCAAACCTCACCTTCAATCATTTGGTCAGTTTCTCGAAACTTTAGTGTTGGAGAAAAGTTATCCAGTGAACATACAATAGTGCGATTTATGAAGGATGACACCTGGTCCCTGTTAGGAGGAA